GGGGTGCTCCAAGCAGCCTGCCGGCTGTTGTGGCACAAATTTCGTGAAGACAAACCATGGCGGTATATTTTTCCATATTCTAGCGGAAGATTCACTCTTGTTTTGCACGTTTTGAGAGTGGCAGAGGGACCTTTTTTTTTCCTTTGTTTTTCTTTTCTTTTTGCCTATGATAGAGTATTCCGTATTTCTGTTGTTGCATTTTTGCGTTTTGTGTTTTTTGAACTTTTTTTTGTTTTTTTTTTGTCTTCTCTTTTCCGTGTTCTTCTGCAACCAGGTAGGGGAAGCTAGTGCCCGGTAGTTCCAGCCTCGACAAGGCTCGGCATATCGGTCAGCCGAGGCTTGGACTTGATAGCTGGGCCAAGTACTGGTGGTTTAACGGGCACGACTTTAGGAAGTACGGGTGGTTTAAGGGGATGCATGTTGCCCCCCACCCTAATTAGTGGTGGTCAGGGAATAGGGTGAGGCCGCCGGTGGGGGGGGGGGGGCTACCGCAAAGACTTTTTGCCAGTTGCAACGTCTGCCTTCTCCTTCCTCCCTCTCTTCTTTTTTTTAAAAAAAAAGGCGACGGCCTTGAGATATCATCATCGTAGAACCGACCGGCCCTCGGAAATTCCAAATTGTTGTACGTATTTTTTTCACATGCTTCTAGTGAAGTTCGGACTCAGGTCTGTATTTCAGCAGTTCAGTTCAGGGGTGTAGTAGCAGTTTTAGGAAATCTCACAAGTCAAACGATGATGAAGTAGTTCAACAAAGCAATTGTAGCCATTGAATCATGAATAGAAAGAAGTACAGCGCAGGATTGGCGTCCCGGACGCCGCGTTTCGACGGCTGCCAGGCCATGCCGTCCTCCTCGGGGGGGTTCCCACCATATTCACCCGCACTAGTCAAGCTACACCCGCACCCACTTCCGTCCGTCATCCAGGCCAGTCTCCGGAAACCAGCGAGGATTAAAAACCTAGGCTTCCTAAGTGGTCCGGGGCAACTTGCCCGGCCCCGCCAAAAATAAAAAAAAAATAAAAAAAAAAAGGAAAATGTGTCAACAGAAATCATTCCTCAGACTATGTAGAGGGGACCCCTGCAAGCATAGGGCCTCGTAAACGAGGTAATTCATGTTGCCCCCCGCCCCAACAGCGGTAGTCAGAGATGGGGTGGGGCCGCCAGTGGGGGTCCGGCTAACGCAAAGACTGAGCATTTTGCCAGTAGCTGCACCTCCCTTTCTCATCGTCCCCCACCCCTCATTGAGTAGCAGCAGAGGCTATGACCAACACTCTCCCACACACCACACACAACCCACTCGCACTCACACTCACACTCGTGTTGGTCATAGACCCTGCAAATACCGATCAGGGGTATCCAGAGGACTGATCCCCTCTATATAGCCTTAGGAGTAGTGGTAGGAAGGTAGTGGAAGGGGAAAAAAAAAATTGAGAGAAGAACATAGTATAGTTTTTAAAAAAAAGACATCATTCCTCAACTATGTAAGGGATTGCTGGGACTTTTGGCATACACAGAAACAACACGTACCGCAGGAAATAAACCAGTTTAATAACGGGTTATTTTTTTCTAAATAAAAAATGTAAGGAATACTCGCCACAGTTAGCGGCCCGCAGACATAAAAGTGAAATAGAGGTACTTCATTATCTTCAACAACTGGAAAAACAGGAAACACCAGAGACCACCCAGAATCATTAGTCGAACGTACAATCTCTACAACAACAACTACAGACCTTTGCTGCCCAACGATGGGAAGGCGTACAAATCAGAGCACGAATCTCACGACACTGAACTGAAGGTACAGTCGATACTAAGTTCTTTAGCATAGTCCCAGCACGGACACGAAGGACGAACATTAAAGCCCTATGTGATTCA